TATAGCCAAATAAAAAGAGTATTATCTAGGGTGTGTTTTGCTGTTCAATCCAAAATGAGTTTTCCCTGTGGGGCTAATTTTCTGGTCTAATAATAAGAGTAGGTCAAAGGACCCTAGGCCGTACGGTGCACTTTGCCCGAACTTTAATGCATTTAGATGGGGCATACGAGATGTCCTTGCTCCGGCTCCTTCTTCCGGTTGGCGTTGCCAAGTGTCGCGCCATAAGAGACGCAAAAATCTCGGCATAAACTAATTATGTCTGCTTTTTAGGCGCTCAGGAAGGCGAGCACTCGCACACATACGCACAGCCAAGTAAAGATATTGAATTTCCCAGTGAAATTTGCCTGCAGGAAAATCTGTTGGCAGATTCAACAAGTTTATGGGTTGGTTGTTTCGTTTTTTCACCCCATTTTCGGGCAATTTTCATGGATTTTTCCATTGCAGGTTAATTAAGGGTATGTTTGATTTTCTTTTTCATTTTTGACTCAATCAGAAAGCGAAGTTATTGCCGCTGGGAAAAAACAATTGTTGTGGAATGGTCTCGATAATTGGTTATCCTTCGCATATCCTGCGAATGTTAGCCAAGTTTCACACGGCAGTTATGTAATGCCCAGCAGGACGAAATAACAGTCTATTACTCTTGCGAAAGAGAGCAAGGATAACAGAGCCGCAGAGAGTGGAAGAGAGCAAGTAAATAAGGGAGAAAGTAACTCTCTTTTTTCCATTCTCTTTGCTTAAGTATAACAGTTTTCATTATCCTGTAACACTAAAGAGAAAATGTGAAAGATTACTATTCAATATATGTGATGACTTCTATTTCCCCTAAAAATACATAAATATTTAACTTACATTTTAAAAATTTTTACGTATATTTTAAATATTTGTTAGTCTTTTTTTTTAAGATTGTAATAGTTTGATTTATAAAGAGTCCTTTTAGTTAGGACACCAACCCGCGAATATAAGAGTCGCCTGCCTTAAATCACTGGGGCATTTGATTAGCGTCAATTTCGTGTAACCTCGACAATCAATTTCAATTTTCTGAACTCTCTTTCGCTGTTTTCCCTTATTCTTGCTCTTAAAAAAACAAAACGCAAGCGCACAGAAAAAGTTTATAGCGGTTTTATAATGGCTCGAAATTATTTCCTAAACTCAGGGTTATAATAAGTCCTAACGTATAGGAACTCATCAATTAAAATGTTGCTTTGCTGATTCTATGATTGAAAAAAGGAACCCAAAATAATTCTTCTTTTTTTTCATTATCACTAATGCTTTCGTTGAATTTTCTTAAACTGTATTATTTTGTTTTCCAATTTCTTACGCCTTTCTGACCTCATTCATCAAATATCTATATATGGGTATATAAATTCTTGATCGATTTCAAAAACCTAGCAAATACGGATCCAATTTAGAAGTATTTTTAGCATTAGTAATTTTTTCGATTATCCAAGATACAATTCTTAAGCTAAATCTTTATAGTATGACCCAAAATCGGAAATCACAACATTGATGGCAGGTAAGTGTGACCGTTCTTAAATTATAATAAAATAGAAAGTGACCATTCTTAAATTACAAATTTGATGGCAGGTAGGGTGACCATTCTTAAATTATAATAAAAAAAATGAAAGTGACCATTCTTAAATTATAATAAAATAGAGAGTAGAAATGACAGTTAAATATTTTCAACTTGCTTTTTTTTAACATGATAATGCACATTCCGGTACAAATAGACCAAACGATTTATAAAACTGATCTAACCAAAGGGAGCCTAGCCAGTAATGCTTCCCGATACGCGGAGATATCCCTCGACACGGCCGAATCGCAGCTTCACAATGCCATTGATGGCATCCCGATAGGTGATCAGTACTGGACCTCCAACTCGTTCTCCATTAACGGAGACACTTCCGTGACGACTTTCGTTGACCAGAAACAGTCCCTTCTCGCTGCGGGTCAAGCTGGCATGGAACTTGTCCAACGACTTGGGGGATATTCAAAATGATATATGGGTTATTGGCTTAGTTAGCAATGGACCCACCTTATCTGGATGGCAGTAGTTCAAGCTCTTGTCGTTCACATTGCTACCAATGCGCCACACCTGGTAGGTGTGCAACACCTCGGTGGGTCGATTCTTGAACGTAATACTAGCCATTCCTTATATAAAAATCCCACTTATATATTTCTAATTTCAGCAGAACTTTTTCTATATTTTATGTGTGTTACTTGTTGCTATCTCCAATGGAATACAATTTCGAATTGATACGTTTGGGATACGTTTGACTTGGATTTGATTTTTTTTCCCTTGCCAACTGCGGTGCGGCTGGGAATTATTATTCCTATGCTCTTTTACGGGCTAGAAATATTTGCAAGCTGCGATACCATAATTTTTAAAAGATTAAAGTAACATTTTGCAATATTGCGAGGTATACTTATTACTTGAAAATAACAGACCATGTAAGGGAAAGTGCGAATAAAATATAATATGCAAAAGTTCTATCCTGGATGGACCTCAGGACATTGATTTTCTTTCATAAAATATTAATTACGAAGAAGCTTGAGTATTTATTTCAGTTAATCATATTTTCTTCCTCTAAAAGAACCAATTATATTGCCAGTATACGGACAGAAGTATATTTAATATGTATATTATATATGTATAATATGTATATGTAGAAAATAACAGACCATGTAAGGGAAAGTGCGAATAAAATATAATATTTAAAAGTTCTATCCTGGATGGACCTCAGGGCATTGATTTTCTTTCATAAAATATTAATTACGAAGAAGCTTGAGTATTTATTTCAGTTAATCATATTTTCTTCCTCTAAAAGAACCAATTATATTGCCAGTATACGGACAGAAGTATATTTAATATGTATTTTATTCCATTTTTTTTTTATTTCTAGTCAACAATTTTTTTTTGTATCACCCCTCCACAACAAATGCTATACAACTTTGTAGCCACCAATTCAATTTGAGAGTAAACTTAAAATTCATCTTAGTACATCTTGTATTTAATTAAACAAGTAAACTAAATATATAAAATAAATTCTAAGTTAATGTGCTAATATGCTAAGTAATAAGTACTGTGAATCTTGAGTGACTAGTGTAAAAGTTATATACTCGTATACTATACAGGGTAGCAAAATAAATAAGTCCAAATTATAGATCACACTATCCATGGAATCGAAAAGTAGAACTGTCAAAAGCATGTGCCCCGGCCCAAGCCGGAATACATTCAGTGTGCCACCAGAGCTCGTCTGGAGCACATCTCGTCCTGGCCCCAAAATTAAAATTCAAAATTTTCCGTACAGCGACGGGTAAGCAAAAATAAAGTGAAAAAACTATACAAAAAAATAAGTGACAAAAAACTATAAAAAAAATGACAAACATTCTTTGTTCTAGAATTTATTTGGTATATCTAGACGTGGTAAATATGGAAACACTCTCGTTAGCAAAGGCCTTCGCATTTTGCTCCGAACTCCACCTAGGAATCACGTAAGCATATATTCTTGTACATTAACCAAATCTTTTGTATATTTAGCAATTCTAAAAATTTGCAGACAACTGATGTAGGACTCATTAAGTACCCTGCACTGCCTTCCTTTCCCATGGGTCAGTTCCGATGACAACACGCCTGATCAGCTGCGCCCACAGTTGAAGGAATGAGAATCCCGATGGTACCGGTCCCGCTGGACGAGCAGTTTGCATCGGATTTCTCAAGAAAAATACATAAACACAAATAATACGGTTTAAACAACTAAATGCTTATATGTATATCCAAAATAAATGGCAAAACCCAAAAAAATTTTATATTTGTATTGTAATTAATGGGAAAAACTTAACTTCAAGGGTATACAGAAAATAGGTTAATAAATATTTTTAATATGAAAAATAAATCAAGGCTATACAGATAATACGTGTAATAAATATTTTTAGTATAGAAATGGAATCAATATTGATTCAGGAAAATACGGAACCGTTTCAGTCTTTGTTTTTGTGTTGGATTTCCAGATTTTGGGGTTACATTTACATATATCCTTTTAGTGCAGGTTCTGAATTCAGTTATGAGGCCCATTCCCGCACACATTAGCCCTCAAGTCGCGCGCCACATAGGCATACATACTTGCCACAGCCAACTATTCCAATTAGTAGTGCCGGTCCGAAGATAGTGCTTAGAAATTGACTGGGCATCTGGCAAATATTGCAGCCTCCATCAAGGGGGCGGCATTGAATATCGGCATAGCGTGATGCGGTTTCTTGGAACGTGTCACGGAGTTGCTCGTCGATAAATTTGTATTCAAAATGGAGCCCCAAATGAAATTATCGACCACAGACAGATTTCAGACGTGGATTCAATTACAAGGCATGTGCGCACTTGGACACTCGAGGGGGGGTTCACGTGGGTTGAGGCTCCTTGGGGTCGGGGGGGGGGTTGCTCTTTGTCTTCTGAGCTGCACAAATACATATGCATAAATTTCAGTCGCTATTTACATAAATGTGGGTGTGGGTGGGGCTGGTGGGGGGAGGGGGGATTGTGTGTGTGTTATGACATTTGCTTACGAAATGAACATCATTATCGGGATACTTGGACTTCCCATTTAAGCACACACACTTACTCGTGCACTCAAAAAAAAAATATATAAAATAAAAAATATTAAATAAATGTTTTAAGTTCTTACCGTATTTATCTTTTTTGATCATCAATAAATAACATTTTAGGGTGCCAAGTAATATGTTTAAAAAAATGTTTATAGGGTCAGCCAATTCAAGTAATGATAATCAAGGAATTCCTAATAAAAAACAAAAATATAGATATAATATTTATTATTTTTATAATTAGATAGTCCTTTTAAAAGGATGCCCTAATTTTATAGTTTTATCTGTATCTGTATTCATTTCAATTGGATTTGTGTTTTGCCTACGGTAACCACTGTGCGGCTGAAAATTTTTGATCACACTATCCATGGAATCGAACAAATGAGCTGTCAAAATCATGTAGCCCGGCCCAGGCCGGAATACATTCAGTTTGCCACCAGAGCTCGTCTGGAGCACAACTAGTTTCGGAAACAAATCAAAAATGTAAAAAAATTCAAAGTATTTGTGTTACCAGGTGAGAAAAGAAGTAAGAAAAAAATTGTTAAAAAAAAGTTTAATATTTTTTTTCTGCTAGAATTAAATTCCCATTTCATTTTGTCTGATGATCTTCAAAATGAAATGGTTCGAAACACAGAGTAAAGAATCGGGTGAGTGAAAAATCGGCTAAGAACTCTAAGAAGAAAGACTAATTTTTATTCTTTTGAAGGTCCATAGCTCACGTGGTTTGATAAAAAAGGCTCTGCATACCCTCACTGCCTCGTACACTCCAGACACACCATACACACCTTACACACCTTACACACCCAATCACACATACTTGGCCATTGCTTTTCTTGACAGGTAAGCAATGGCATTGCTCTTCGTTTTCGTTGAGTTGACGGCATACAAGTAAGTGTTATTATTATTATTATCCCAGTATTATTTTTTACTAATCAAGATCCTTTGCTCCCAGAACAGGATGTCTGGTTTCCACATAACCTCATCATCAAGATGTTTACCAATATCCAGTCGAACCGCATAAGGGTTCAACATAATGAAGATCACATTCCTACGCTATAGCGTATAGGAATCGCCTTAATAGAGTTATATTGAGGTCAGTTGAGCTAAGTATTCTTGGTATTTTCATATTAATCGAACTCGTTTTCACAGTAATTTTCCCCGACCGATGGTACCGGTTCCGCTGAACCTGAGAGGGCATCGGTCTAACAATGTTATATATATATATGTACCCATTTGTTGAAGAATTAAACCAAAAATATTAAAAAAATTCACTTATTTGTTCTCTTTGTAAATGGAATTCATCGAAAAGATATTATTAGAAAAGTTTTTCATCTGAGAGAGAGGTTGTATTAATCCCGCACTTCAGGTCTGGGGTCTAAGCCATCGGCAAACACGTCGAAGCAGATGAACAAACTTTGGCAAACAACAAACGCGGACCAATGCGCAAACTTGTTTATAAAGAAAGGATGGGGATTTCTATAAAACGAATTTTGGAATGCCCTAGCATACAGGAAAATATTATCCTAAAATAAAAGAAATAGTATATATATATGCCCTAATTATATAGTTCTATCTGTATCAAGATGCATTTTTGTCTTTTTTTTCCGTTCAAAAATAGGATCATGCTTCCTACCAATAACGCCAAATGATATACCCACTGTGGGCGTTATTTCACCCCAAAAAATACACTTAAATCCAAAATTTTTTTTGTTAAACATTAAAATAAAAGTTATAATGTGATTGCTGAGGGACTTTATATTACTAAGACTTACCTAAAGTTTTTAAAAATTAAACAATTTACAATTCCGCAATGCAGTGGCATTCGTTTTTCCAGTGCACACACGGGCACTTAACGGCCAGTCCTGATGGTGGTTAATTAGCCACACAGATACACACACCTGACGGGCCACTCCCCTCCCCCCACCCTTCGGTTACTCATCTCGCAACGTAATTGGTCTGTATACAATTGTAATTATAAACCACTAATAAGATTCGAACACGAAGCGATTTTCAAACTAGCATTGAACGTGGCAACGCGGTGGTAAACGAGCCCCCTACCGATTTTCCCCCTTTCCCGCTTTTCCTGTCAGTTGTTTCGGCTTCGTCGTCGTTGCCACATCAACAAGTTAATTTTGCATCGGCGAACAGAAGGGGAAAATTCAGGGGGGGGGATGGTAGTTTTTGAATCTCAGTGCTACCAAATGGTCGGAAAAGTGGGCGGGGCGAGGGCGCTTAAGTGACTATTTAATGCGATTAAAATTGGAAAAGCTCCGCTTGACCAGGACACTCTGTCGAGTGGGGTTAAGGGTGCCCGGATTGGACGGGGCGGGGCCGCTGTGGGGTTAAGGGGCCACAGGTGAGCCCTGTAACCGATGACTCCCAGATGCACCGCTTCCAAATTGCATTTGCCTGTGACCTCTCAACTCGTCCAGGCTGGCAAATGGAAATGATTGAGTTCCTGGGAAATCAAGTCAAAGAATATTAAACTGAATTATGCTCCAAAATGGACGAGTACTGGAAACTGGTTTTGAGATTCGAATGGATGAAGCTTCCTGTCCAAAATCAATTAATTGATCCCATTGGGAAATGGTTAAGGCGAAATGAATGTCAACTGGTATCCAGAATTTTCAAAACTGAGAAAAACAGCTGCCTATCTTTAAAAGTTAATTTGTGAATTAAATTTAAATCTCTTTTTTAGGCCTTGTGGATTTTTAAGTTTATAAATTTTAAGAGATAAGAAAAATATATACCTTCACAAGTGTATTTAAAAAAGCACCTAGATACCTTTAGAATATCTTTAGAACATTATATCTAAGTAGAATTTATATCTACTTAAAAGAATTTAAGAGTTCTTAATCAAATCTCAAGATCAAATATCGCAAATTTATTAAAACTACTTATATATTCTTAAACACAACACAGAATTTGCTTAGCCAATTGTTAACGAATTGATTTGTATTTGAATTGCTTTAAACTTGAATGGTATTCGATGACCTTGTCTAACTCGTCCACTCTGCGCTGAGATTACGCGATTCGAGGACCATCTCCGCAACTTCCAGCGACGAAATGAAAATGGAAATTGACAAGTGACCAAGGATCCACTGCCGAGGATGTGATGACCACCAAGGAGGAATGCACTCACATGTGAAATGGAAAAAATTATAATCCAAATAAGAGAATGCAAAAGGATGTGGCCACCGAACTTGGGGTCAGGATCTGAGCAGGAGGGGAGGGGGATTCATGGGTTTTCCCGGGGAGAAGGAAATGCGAGGAGGAAAACCGGGTAACCACCGGGGGCTGGAATGGAAGGCTAAGAAGCCGGCGAAGCGGAGCGAGGCAATCGAAATCGATGACGGATACGCTGGCAGGACAACAAGTCATCGGCTGCCCCGCAGATTGAGGTCCTGCTGCTCCTTGGCTGCTCCTCGTGTGGCTACTGCTGTAGCCATTTTTGAAAATTTCTTAAAATTCAATAAATATTTATGAGTTGATAATGCCAAAGGCACACATACACACACACAGCTGGCATGGTCGCTTGGTTGAATTAAATGGATTACGGATACACAGTGGTGGTCAAATAAATAGGTTGTCATCTAAAAGAAATACATACAAATTATATTCATATCCAAACATCTAAAAAATGGTATTTAGGGACGTGGAATGTTATGGAACTTATTAAAAAATAAATTATCTTATTTTAGGAATGTCAACCAATCCACAGAGTATTTCGAATTCAGAGATAGAATATAAATATGCACCAATTGTAGGTTGTGGTAATTTTTTTTATTATTTGAGATTAATTTCGGAAATATGGACCAAATTCTTGTAAATATATACGATTGCTAATAGTAAAATAAATTCATAGTAAAGTCAGCTTTTTTATTATTTAAACTTAAGCTTGTGGCTTAATTTGAAAATTAATATAAAGAATTTTTTAAATATTTTGAAAATTTTCTTATTCTTACGTTATATTACTGTGTTACTATAAAGAGCACCTATTTAACTGTTTAGGACTACAAAAAAATTAGTTTTAAATGTATTTAAGAAAACCAAAAAATATTTAGATACTAAGCACCATTTTGGTGACCCCAATTGTGCAAGGACGACGCAAAGGAAGCGCTCAGCGCCACGCACAAAATGCAAACACGCACAGCGGAATAACATCAGAGCGGGATGGGGCGACGGCGGATGAAAGAGACGGATGTGCAGGGGGCGAAAGAGAGGGGCATAGAAGGGGACGACGCGACGAGTTCAAAGGGCACGACAAGATGCTTGGTTAGCCGGCTTGTGCATCTGAAAGTGGAACGGAACACATCGCAAGTAAATGTGCATAATTCATACTCGTAGCTATCCGTTTGCAGTTCGCATTAGTGGACAATCGGGTGAAGGACATGCCACGTGTGCCACAATCCATTCAAGGATCCCACTTTACCCCCTTGGTCCTTGAGTAAACAGATCCATAAACCCACTTGATTGACTGGGAAATAAACAACAACATTTATTTATTCATCAATTAGTCCCCTTTTACTTTCTAATTCTTCGAACACAAAGTGTTTAAATGGGGAATACAAAATTAAATGAACATAGCTTTAAGTATTTTCGAAATTTATTTTTGTGATAAGAATACTATTTCCAAACACTACCTACCTAATAAATTATTGAAGTAAAGTATTTATTAATAAAGCATATCATAATATAATAATAAATAACTATAGTATTAAGTAAGTAATTTATATGTTTTGTATTGAATTGTATGATTTTATAATTTATTTTTGTTTTACTTAAAATTCATTAATTTAACTATATTCGTTATTTTAAATATGTAAGACTTCGATTTTAATATGAATTCTTTTTTTAATAACGTTAAATGTTACAAAAAAAGTTGACTAACAATATATATCATATTTTTAACACAGATTCATATATTTTATATATATATATTTTATATATATATGTGTCTGTACTTAAATTATTGTGTTTATATTTTATTTAAATATTACATAAACAATTTTTAATTCAATACGCAGTTATTTACTTTAATTATTCAATTTTTATCTTGTAAAAGTGTATAAATTGGAATAATTATACAAAGCCTAACGAAAGGGAATTAAAAGTCCAAGTTAAGACTTTGAATTTATACTTCTTGAACGTAATATCATTCTTTATATCGAAATCCCAATATTGTATTCGATTGTCACCCGTATTTTTTTTTTCTTTTTTTTCTGGTTGTTATCTTCAGTGGAACACCGTTTCGAGGATATATTGAAACTTTGGTATTAATTTCGATTGGATTTGTGTTTCGCCTACGTCACCCATTGTGCGGCTGAAAATTTTAGATCACACTATCCATGGAATCGAACAAATGAGCTGTCAAAATCATGTAGCCCGGCCCATGCCGGAATACATTCAGTTTGCCACCAGAGCTCGTCTGGAGCACAACTAGTTTCGGAAACAAATCAAAAATGTAAAAAAATTCAAAGTACTTGTGTTACCAGGTGAGAAAAAAAATAAGAAAAAAATTGTTCAAAAAAAAGTTTAATATTTTTTTTCTGCTAGAATTAAATTCCCATTTCATTTTGACTGATGATCTTCAAAATGAAATGGTTCGAAGTACAGAGTAAAGAATTGGGTGAGTGAAAAATCGGCTAAGAACTCTAAGAAGAAAGACTAATTTTTATTCTTTTGAAGGTCCATAGCTCACGTGGTTTGATAAAAAAGGCTCTGCATACCCTCACTGCCTCGCACACTCCGGACACACCATACACACCTTACACACCTTACACACCCAATCACACATACTTGGCCATTGCTTTTCTTGACAGGTAAGCAATGGCATTGCTCTTCGTTTTCGTTGAGTTGACGGCATACAAGTAAGTGTTATTATTATTATTATCCCAGTATTATTTTTTACTAATCAAGATCCTTTGCTCCCAGAACAGGATGTCTGGTTTCCACAACTTCATCATCAAGATGTTTACCAATATCCAGTCGAACCGCATAAGGGTTCAACATAATGAAGATCACATTCCTACGCTATAGCGTATAGGAATCGCCTTAATAGAGTTATATTGAGGTCAGTTGAGCTAAGTATTCTTGGTATTTTCATATTAATTGAACTCGTTTTCACAGTAATTTTCCCCGACCGATGGTACCGGTTCCTGGAACCTGAGATGGCATCGGTCTAACAATGTTATATATATATATGTACCCATTTGTTGAAGAATTAAACCAAAAATATAAAAAAAAATTTACTTATT